AGTACTTCTTGCTGACAGGCGAAAATCATCCAATCACATTCCATCCTGGTTGAGCCGAGAGAAAGTCAGACTTGTTGGACAAAAAAAACCACCCTGTTCTGGCCCGAGCCAGGCCGAAATGCATCATTGCAGTTGTCAAGAGCACCAATCCTTTTTATGAGATGGGCCTGTAAATGACCAGAGGAACCAATGGATGCTGCGATAATAAAATCGATCTGTACCACCTACAGACAAAAGGAACCGCAGCCTCGGCATGGAACAGGAGAAAGAACGTGGTGGTTTTTAGTCAGTAAGTCTGACACCCGCCGACCTGCTGCCACCGTAGGGCGCGGCCTGCAGACGACAGACTCGGGGGGATCTAGCAGCAGGCCTCGAGGCGGCGGTGCCGTGTCCGGCGCACGCCTCATAGTAGAGTCCTGCGGTCGGGATGACGGGGTCCACCTAACCATCTGGCGGCCAATACCCGTCGGGGGGTTGCGACGAATGCTTCGGCGATACCCGCCCCTCCGACACATGGGTAATTGGAGGAGCACCGGGTTCGTTTTTAGTCAGTAAGAGTCTGACAGTACCCTTCGCCCTTCCCCGAGGGCGGTGGGTGGGTGAATAAGGATTTTCCAACCCTACATCAAAAAAAGTCAGACACCTCCTTTCGCCTCACGTTGGGTGAAAGAAGGCTAACTGTTGAACTAAAAAAACATAATAAGAACTGATGAACAAACTCATTGATGGTCAGGTATCAAAATCAAAGGCGTTGTCTAGAATAATCTTTGTATAATTTTCATCTTAATACAGCACATAGTATAATATAAAACAAAGTCTCTTTCTCTGTCCCTATTTCCCTATGTATGCATGCTAACATCTACAAAACTATGCGACGGATTTTGATGCGATTTTTAACAGATAATAGAGTGATTGAAGAGTAAAGTTTATGTGTATAATAACATCTATTAAATAATGGAGAAATTTAGTCTTAGTATTGCACCTATACGAAGCCGGGCCGGTCGCTAATATACCTCTTATAATAAACCTCAGTGACCTTGGTGTCAGTCATTTGTTTGGATAGCGAATCTACATCGAAAATTCAAAAATAGCCGCATTTAAAAAATATTTCATTAGAACCTTCTATTGACAATGACAAACACTACAACTTATTAGCGAAATTCGTCCGACGTTGTTGATATACCAACACATTTTTTATACCTTGGATAGTTAAAAGTCAAATAAAAATCCTTGTACAAATAAAATATAATAAGGACTTTAATATTTACATCATTAATTTATTCAAATGTATCTAATAATAACATTACAATTAAACAATTTATATACAACTGAGCGTGATAAAACTATTGACCCCTTATTACAAAACAAGGTTTATCTTTAGTCCAGGTTTAAACCATTGAGTCGGGTTTTGAATTTTGAATCTTATTGTCATCTACCTTCAATTCGAAATACGAAAACTGGCTCAATGGTTTAAACCTGGACTAAAGATAAACCTTGTTTTGTAATAAGGGGGTATGTGTTTAATTCTCAGAATTATGCCTGACAATAAGACATAATACATATAAGTAGGTATTTACATTAAATACTTTTGTTTAGCTGAACTAGCTTGTTTTTATTAACAACTAGCTGACCCGGCACACTTCGTACAGCCTCAAATATTACTTTTTTTATTTAAGTAGTCATATTTTCTGACCTTTTAAACATTATCTGTATATCCAGAAATATTTCAACCACAATAAGCATTGTCGGTCCAGCCATTCTCGAGTTTTAGCGAGACTAACAAACAGCTATTTATTTTACATAATACATATAAGACTAGCGGCCGACCCCTGCTTCGCACGTGTGCAATGCTAATACTAAATTTCTCCACTATTTAATGGATGTTATTTTACATATAAACCTTCCTTTCAATCAAACTATATTTCAATATATTTACGAAAAACTGCATCAAAATCCTTTAGTACCTTTTTTTAAACATGTAATTATATATGTCATGTACATATGATGTAGGGACAGAGAAAGCGACTTACTTTTACTTTTACCATGTACTGATTATTTAAAGATGGTTTTAAAAAAATGTTTTGTAATTATCCTGGACTTGGAAATTTTATTTAATTTCTTCGCTATCAAACAATGGTAAGTATGACAAAAAGATACAAAAAATAACTATTAAAAATGACTAGCGAGCATGGAGTCTCGGGTTTGCACCCCGTGTTGTACATCGTTATTTTGAAGTAAGTAAGTCACAACGGGACTGAACGAGACGCGCACACTTCTTATGAATAAGAGCCCCGTTGTGGCTTGAAACTCGTAGAGCTACGATTATCACTATCCCTACACATAGTATAAAACAAAGTCGCTTCCCGCTGTCTGTCCCTATGTATATGCTTAGATCTTCAAAACTACTTAACAGATTTTCATGTGGTTCTATTTAATGGATATATGATTCAAGAGGATGGTTCAGGTGAATATTTTACGAAGGTTTGCCGACAAAGTCCGGGCAGGAAACTAGTGACATTTAATGTAAGTAGGTAATATAAAACTAGAATTAAAAGTATGATAATTATGATTTGTTTTGTGAATGGAATATTTTATTTGAAATCCATGACGAAGGTAAACACAAACTTATAGGAAATCAATGGTTATTTGAAACTTTAGATTTGTGTCACATTAGTAAACAAATTATTGGTACCTACTCATATAATATTGATTGATGTGCAAAATTAAATGCAATGTAAGTCATTTACACTAAATAGTAGGAAGGCATTTTTTTATGTAATAGGTCGGCAAACGAGCAGACGGATTACCTGATGGTAAGCAATCAGCGCCGCCTATGGACACTCGCAACGGAGGAGTTACGAGCGCGTTGTCTTTTAGGGATTGGGGATTTGGAGATTTAGGGATTGAGGAGGGATTGGGGGAGGGGAAGGATTAGGCCTTCGGTAACCTCAATGACACGGCGAAACACAACGCTGTGGTTGTTTCACGCCGGTTTTCTGTGAATCCGTGGTATCACTCCGGTCGAGCCGACCCATTCGTGCCGAAGCATGGCTCTCCCACACTTAAAATTTCACGCATTCATTGTTATGACCTACCAAAGTTCTTTTGCAAAAAAAAATCCATATGTAGATATGTCACTTTTTGATTTAATTTGTAAGTATGGTGTTTACATTCAGAACGAAATAGATTATTCCAACCGCTGGTCGGATTGCCAAAATTCTTTCACTGATAGATAGCTACAATATTTCTGAGTGCTATAGGCTATAAAATATCACGCTATGATCAAATGGAGCTGAGCAGCGGGTGAAACCGCACGAGAATAGCTAGTTTTATAAAAAAAGATGTAATTTTACTACATTTTTTAAAGAGTTATCTCATTGACGTCACAATATGTTCTTAAATACAAAATTTACATATAAAGAACTGTTACTACCATTTTTGTTCTTTTAAAAAAAATATTACACATTGTTTGTTTCAATTGTGCTAATTCGGGTCACAATAGCAAAACAATTTCGTGGTTTGATGGATTATCAAATTTAATAACTGTTTTCAATATTACACCCGGTTTCCGAAAGGCCGATCAATGTTAAAATCAATTTTATCTCTTGTCAAGTCATCTGATTGGTTGACTGAATTATCAACAACCAATCAGATGACTTGACAAGAGATTTGACACCTAGTTAGTTGATTTTAACATTGATCGGGCTTTCGGAAACCGGGTGTTTGTATTTATATTTGAAACAGGAAAATAATAATATGTTTATGTGTGTGATATCTATGTTTGGCAAATACTTATATACTTGAGCATACATAATGCCAATATCTTGTATGTATTTTATGGTGTATATTAAAGCTATGAATAACATAATACTATAGGTAATTATATTTCTATAATTTACGAATACACAAAATTAATTGTCGTGGTGGCCCAGAGGTTAAGGAATCCGCTTCTCATGCATGAGGGGTGGGTTCGAAACCTAGCAACTACCAATGTGACTTCATTCATTTATCACCACTTATCATCATTTAGACACCACTGACATACGGTGAAGGTAAACATCGTGAGGAAACGTGGACTTATAATTTCTAATTATAAGTTTGAAATCGCCAACCCGCATTGAGCGAGCGTGGTGATTAATGCTCTAACCTTCTCCGTATGAGAAGAGGCCTTTGCTCAGCAGTGGCCACTTATAGGCTGATGATGAAAAAATGAAAAATAAATCGCTTAGTGTGTATAAATCGCTAAGCTCATCACTTCGAGAACCAATTGTGATGATGATGACATTTGGTGTAGATAATTTTATTGTTACTTTTAGGAGAAGGTTCTCATGGAAGAAAACTTTAGAAAAGTAGAGGGGACTGTCAGTATATAGCAACCCTTTCGTCTTTCGTCATTAGCAAGGTCACCATAAAATATCTTTCTAATAGGAGCTGAAGAGTTTGTTTGTTTGTTTGCTTGCTTGAAGGCGCAAATCTCCGGAACAACTGGTCCGAATTAAACAAATATATGGATATGGATAGTCCATTTATCGAGGAAGTCAATAGGTTGGAAAACATCACGAAGAAACTGAAAGGAGCCAAACAGAGGGCCTACCATGACATCTTAAAGCGTCAATCTTCTGCGCGAGAAAGAGGGATGGAGCTATAAAAGGTGTATAACTCCATCCCTCTTTCTCGCCCGGAAGATTCACGCTTTAACATGTTATGGTAGGCCTACAGATCAAGGAATCGAGCCAAAGAAATAAGTATTAGTTAAATAGAAAATAATATTAATAACCATTTTATAATCTTGAATCGGTTTGTAGATGATCGGTCGATCGGTTCATAAATGGCGGAGTAATCGGTGAGAATACAAAAAAAAAATTAAAAAAAAAACAATCAGCCGAACATATTACCTTCTCTGTTTTTTGAAGTCAGTATTAATATAACTTAGTTGTTGTGTAGAGGTAGTTGTTGAAGCACATAGAAATGTAGTGTTTATTTATTAAAAAATAACTTACCAAGTGTAGAAAGGCTCTTTGAGTTCAGCATAAGGAATGTTCAATGTTCCTTTTACTGTGTACACCGGGTTCCATTGAGGAGGGGCATCTAAAACAGAAATAGGTTTTTATTACATTTAGTTCTATTTATTCACTCTTCGTGTACAATTGAGTAGTTTATTAGACCAAATACAAATTATTTTGAACATTTTAATAGCCAAAAATAATTATATATAATCAAACTTTAATTAATTGATTTGAATAATTAAATATTCAAGCATTTTTTTTGAATTTTTTTCATAAATAAGTATGTTATTTGGTGTGAAAACACTATGACGTCAGATGTTGCGATTTCATAGACAAAAGTTATAGAATCATTTTTGACATTTCCATAAAAATAACTATAGACAATTGTTTTTATAATCTATACTTATATTATAAAGAGGTAAAATTTGTAAGCTTGTATGTTTGTAAGTAGGGGGTAATCTTTGAAACTGGTGGTCGGATTGCCAAAATTCTTTCACTGATACATAGCTACAATGTTCCTGAGTGTTATAGGCTATAAAACATCACGCTACGATCAAATGAAGCCGAGCAGTGGATGAAACCGCGTGAGAGTAGCTAGTAATTAATAAGTTATATATATTTGCTTAAAATGCACTTACTTCTAATTTCTTTTTTTCACTTCATTTTTTGTGTTTAATATGAACAACTTTATACACTTTAATTAATCAAAAAATCCATCAGATATATTGTTGAATTAAAGCATAGTTAAGGTACTTAAGTAAATGTAAAAATTCTTGGCAAGCCTTTTTATAAAAATGTTTGACAGATGTTTACCTAAATCGTTGTTAGCTAATATACAAAATTTAATTTATCTGTGTACGTATTTTATACAACCTCTTTAGTATAAAAAGACTTACTTACTTACAGTATCACTTACCAAGATTGTTTATCTTTCGTCAATTACCTAAACTTATAGTTATTTTAGGGACATTTATATTATAGTTATTTTAAACAGACAAAAAAGAGTGATAAATAATGAATTTCAATTAAAATAATAATGAATGTTTAAAAGTCAACTAACAAACACCTGAAAAAATGTTAATTTAAAAATTAAAAATAAAAAAAAATAATACATCTAAGTAATTAAATTTCCTAAAAAAGAATAATAGGACTCTGAAACACAAAGTGCAGTAAGGTCTTTTAGATAAGAGTATTTACATATTTACATTTCGTAAATGAAAACCCAAAAAAAAATATGGAAAAAGTTGTTGCAAACTTTAATTTATTTCTGAGTCAATTTTTATCAAAATCCATAGAGTATAAAGTAATTTTTACTTAAAACAGTGACCATCCATCCAACCTTACAAACTTTGCAGTTATAACATTAGTAAGTTACGATGTCAATAAAAAAATTCAAATTCCTATTAAAATAAGCACAAGTTAATACAAAACTTATTGATAGAAACCTCATTTTATCCCAGTTCGAAAGTTGTTTAGTCTATCTAGTTTACATTTTATGTTATTTTGTTTCAATCCATATCAGTTTAATTTTATTTTATTATTGGACTCAATTCATGATAAGCTTGTAGGTACAAACAATCTTGGCCACTACATTATGAACTTTATATTGTTTGTTTTAATATAATCAAGAGGTCTCTGGGCAGGCAAACGGCTATTGATTGTTATGTCAGTTCTTGAAAGTTTTTTGGGCTCTGAAATATGGCAGTAGTCTCTCTCATCCCATCCCATTCAAATCCAAAAGAGGTAGGCACATCCCATTTACCTATGTATAAACCTCTTTGGATTTGAAAGGTGTGATATTATAATCTAAAACAACTTTCAGTACCTACAATTTAATTAACAATAAATTATATTTTTTTCATTCTAATTCAATTGAATAGTGGGTACCTACTCAAAAACTAAAACTGTATGTAGTCCATAATTTATTTATAATCTGTCATGCAAATAAACAAAAAGAAAAGTAGGTACTTGTATAAAAAAAAGCTTACAAAAACTAACCACAGCATAATAATACTAAATCTGCAACATTACCTACATGAAGTTGAACATACCTACATAAGAACTAATTAAAAACATCGTCCTGCTAATAAATGGTAATTAAAACTATTTATGGACAAACAGTGATAAGAATAGCGAGAATAATATAAATAAATATTATTTCTTTACCTTTATCAATGTGACCGACGGCGAAGCCGAGGATAACGCAGAATATCGGCAAAAACAACATCGTGGATGACCGCTCAGGACCGCAGCCCTACACAGAATGAAAATATAAGAATTGTCAAGTACGAAACGAATTAACGACATCAAACAAGCGAAATAAAACGGAATTGTAATAAAAACATAAAACTTATCTATTTTAACGATAAATCAGGTATTTAACAAAAAAATGTGAATGTTTTTCAGAGATAAAGTTAACTTTAAAAATGTTAGGCATTTCTTTACCTTACATTTTTATAGGATTTGTAATTTTGTATAACTTGTTTTCTTTGAATTGTTGTTCTCTAATTGTAATTTATTTTTATCTAATAAGAATATATTTAAAATAATGCCAATTATACTTATTACTTACCAAATTTTAAATTACACTGTATTCTAATTCCTTTTTTGTTGTTATTTATTATTTCACCCACCACCAAGCCGAAGCGATTCAGTTACTCGATTGACGTATTTATTCTTCTCCGACTGACTGCTGTCAAATTGTAAACTTAATTGTCATTTAGCTGGCATAATAAATTAAAGATACAATACAATCAAATACAAGGGTATCACAAAATCTTCAAGCTTTCTAGAGCGGCACAATTTCTGTAAAAAATATAACCATTAAATTATTTTTCATAATCTAAAAGTATCTTTATCATTTTAAGAAATAACTTAACGTGTCGTTTGACATTCCTTGGGCTGTAACAAGTTGATATGATACCTGTTCTTCCTGATGCTGTTTCGTAAAAGTCATAGTTCTCAATACCTGTAAATAAAATAACAGATCACGTTCAACACTTTGGTTTGTCTGTCAATTCCGATCCGGTTAGAACAGACTGGTCTGGAACTGTGACTGCAACATGAGTATTTGGGAACCTTTGGGAACCGAAAAGAACTAATATTAAATGACAGTTGTCATGTTCATTTCATGCTTGATGATGTATATCAATGTATTACAATGTTAACCACATTGTATTGTATCTGCCTATTCCAATGGGTCATAGGCGTGATAATGTGCAAGTAGTTAAGATAGCAGGTATTACAAATGTTTTCTGTAATACCTGTTATTTGTGCTCTCAATAACAATATTGTTATTTAGGATCTGTGTCCGTACCTGTTCCTTATGGTATTTTATCTAACCCCACGTCTATAGTCATTGTCAAGACATTTGACATTTAATTTTGCATTAGCAAAACAATCGGCAAATTTACAAATTCAGAAGGAAACTCCAAGTGAACTGTAATAGTCTTATTTATTACATTAAGTGAACTGAATTAATGTAGATATCTACTATCTGTAGGTAATATACAACACGTACCACGTTGGGGACAAGCCATGCACAAAAAACCCATATCTTTTGGCAAAATTAGCCTCAAAGCAAGCAAAACAGATGAAAACACGGACAAAAATGAGGCAAACACATCAGGTTTTGGTACATTTGGCCGAACACCTATCCAGGAACACAAAGAAATCGAGGAAATAGCTGAAGATTTGGAAAATCAACATGTACAGCAAGTGATGGGAATAAAGAACTTTGGTAAAAAAGCTAAAAACTTTGACCTCGTCGAATTAGTGGAACAGGCAAAGGTAAACGCTCAGGAAGCCAATAAAAGGAGGTTAGAAGCTGAAGCTTCTAAGCCTAAAGAACCAGAGACAAAAAAAGATGAAGAAAGTGGTGATGACTTGATTGGGCCTCCATTACCTCCTGGGATGTCACAGAAGGATGATGACGATGATGATGATGATCTCATAGGCCCACCAATACCACCAGATCTGAACAAGGATGATAAAAAGAAGGGTAAAGGTGATGGCGATGGAGACAGCTATGATGAGCTGAGTGGGTCTGATGATGAGGATTTGCCTTTGGAGAAGAGGATACCAAATAGTCATGAGGTGAGACAAGTTCCATACCAGACCTATTTAAAAATAAAATAGTTTAGTGCAAATTTTGATTTTAAGGTGAATTATTAAGTAATTAATAACTCTACTCAAACTCAAAGTTCTATTGTTATAAGAAAGAAAATTAGCTAGGAGTATGATATAAGATGTAACCTAGTAGGTATAATTTGGAAAGTCAGCAGAGGCCACCACAAACATAAATATGTTGACCAAAGAAATTATATTTTAAATGAGAGTCAAATTTAAAACACCCTTAATAAATGAGCATGTATGAAGAAATTGATGAATGTAGAAGAAGACAAAATGATGTGTTGAAATTGTGGCTTTTGGAATTCCATTGTTTTTGCCTACCTCATACATATGTATTTATGTATGTGTTATAAGCCAAAAAATTTAATCAAATATCAATCACACAGTAACAAAAATAGTTACTGCATAATTCATCAATAAATAAATTGTTAATTATTATGTTTTCGGCTTACTCACGTAATAATTTGACGAGATACCCGACTAGTTTCAAGCGTGTTTCAATACGTAAGTTTCAATTACGTGAGTAAGCCGAAAACATAATAATTAATTTAGAATGTCTCACGAAAGTTATAATAAAAATAAATTGTTGTTCTGAAACCGACAGTAATATGAAAGTGATGTTTTGTTATTTGTTTGTAAATGCGCTCAAAATACAGAATAAATACCCAATGTTCTTAATATAGAGTTTTGACAGAAAATACTAAGGTTCAATGTTATTTTTATGGGCGTTTTTGTCAGGGGAAAATCATCCCTCAATCCTCCCAGGTTGAGGCGAAAGGGAAGGTCAGACTCTTGATCGAGGCCGACGCCGCAAGGCCTTATTGCATTTGCCCAGTACCCAGATAAGGCCCCGTCTGTAGTGGTCTATTGGCCCTTTGAAACGCGCGTGGAACGCGGTGCGGTGGCGGGTTCTGGTGTGGCGGCGATATACCAATATAGATTAGCCTATCAAATATTGAATACTTTTGCAGGTGGAAATGCTTCATGGCACGAAAGCAGTCGTGGCGCTGGCGGCAGACCCCTCGGGTGCTAGACTGGCGACAGGATCAATAGACTATGATGTTAGCTTTTGGGATTTTGCTGGTAAGAACTTATGAAAAAAGGTTATATTGTGGATACATATATTTTGAAAGTGTTCTAGAATAGATGAGTATTTAATCTGTTGACCTTGAGGATAAATAATACTATGATGACTATGATGACAGACATCAGATGACTATGATGACTATGATGACAGATACGAACCCTATTGGAACTTGATTTTGAAATATAACCCCATAATACTTTCTTGGCCTTCATTTGCAACTACTCACATAATCTCTGAAGCAGCTTAATATAATAATATATTCCAATCTATTTCCCCTTCCCAGGTATGGACTCAGGAATGCGGTCATTCCGCACCCTACAACCGTGTGAGAACCACCCCATCAAGGCACTACAGTACTCCAACACAGGAGACTCCATATTAGTGGTCAGCGGTGCTGCTCAAGCCAAGGTGCTGGACAGAGATGGCTTTGAGGTCCTGGAGTGTGTGAAGGGAGATCAGTACATTACAGATATGGCTAAGTAAGTTAAAGCTTATCTGTTGTTAAATTATTAATATTTTATGGCTTTAGTAAGTACACTATCGGGTTGACCCGTCCAGTTTCGTGTCACACCTGGGGCTCATGTTTTTGAACAGTTCTGCCGGAAAAGACACAGTAAGCGTTTTGCAACCAACTGATACTGCTCTAAACTTAATTAAAGCCGATTCTTAGATGATTACCCAGTCGTGTGAACGCACGTCGTGGTGGCCTTAGGAGAAGCGTGGTATGCTCAACTTTATTAGAAGCAGGTGCCTTAACCTTCAGCAATGACGCCTGATATGACTTCCGAAAGATATCTACTATCTAAGTTTATTAAAACACCACAGACATGCAGTGAATGTAAACGTCATAAACAAAATCTAGACTTTTATAAGTTTTAAATTCACTAATCCGCCATGAGCAAGCGTGGTAATTAAAGCTTAATCCGTCTCCGTGTGAGAAGATCTCTTTGCTAAGTAGTGTGCACTTTTGGTTGGTGATTTGTGCCGGAACACGTGTCTGCACGAGCCATTGTTATTTGTAGTTACTAATGGATAAATAAATCTTACATTTAACTACAAGTTTATTTCTAACCAAAGAACTTTCTTTCCAGAACAAAAGGCCACACAGCAGCTCTGAACAGCGGTTGCTGGCATCCACACATCCGCGAGGAATTCATGACATGTTCCCAAGACGGTACACTTCGACTCTGGCTCACTGAGAACCCCAAGCAGCACAAAGCCGTCATAAAACCCAGACAGCAAGGAGGTCTGAAAACCAACCCAACTGCTTGTACCTTCTCCAGAGACGGAAACACAGTCGCCTGCGCGTGCTACGACGGGTCCATCCAAATGTGGGACCATAGGAAGAACTTCGTCAACACAACAGCCTGCGTCAGAGACTGCCATCAAAAACAGTCAGAAATATCCAGCATATCCTACTCTTACCTCGGTTCCTACCTAGCCAGCAGAGGCAACGATGATACCCTCAAAATTTGGGACCTCAGGAACTTCAGAAAACCTGTCCACGTTTTTGGAGATCTCTTCTCGAGGTATGAGCAAACTGACTGCGCTTTCAGTCCAGATGATACTCTGGTGTTCACTGGAGAGTCTCTAAAGAGGGGTCAGGATATTGGCAAACTAATATTCTACAATACAAAGACGTTTGAGCAAGTTTCCCATATAGATGTGACGAAATCTCACGTCATTAAAGCCATTTGGCACGCGAAATTGAACCAAATTTTTGTCGGTTGCGGTAATGGTGTTGTGAAGTGCTATTTTGATCAGAAAAGAAGTTTACGCGGTGCGAAGCTCTGCATAGTAAAGACGCATAGGAAAAAGCATTCCGTTGAAGTTGTGAGCGCTCAGCAAATTATTACTCCACACGCTTTGCCCTTGTTCAGACAAGAGAAGTTACGGACAAGTAAAAAGAAGATGGAGAAAGATCGACTGGACCCAGTCAAGTCACATCGACCTGATTTACCTATCACATCAGGTCAAGGTGGTAGGGTAGCCGCTTCAGGCAGCACCCTAAGCTCCTTCGTCATCAGGAACTTAGGTCTAAGCAAGAGGGTTGATGATGAACAGGATCCAAGAGAAGCCATCTTGAAGTATGCGAAGGAAGCTGAAGAGAATCCGTTCTGGGTGGCTCCAGCGTATAAGAAAACACAACCACAGCCAATATTCCAGGCTGGAAATGAGGAGGAAGGGCCTTCTGATCCGAAGAAGCCAAAGACGTCGTAATTTTAGACTTGTCAGGCAGTAATTAAAGTTGGCAATCTGATAGACACTTGAAAATGTTTGCCCATACTTCTGAAGGCGACGTCTAGTAGAATCGTTACATAAATAAAATATATCATCAACCTAAACTACCATTAAAGTTCATATAACTTCCTTCTTGACACATTACAAATCATTAGTTTCCAACTAGTCAAATTCAATACATTAATTTTATTAAAATGTCAAAAACTATATTTCCTATGAACTTCGTGTCATGTTTTACATCAAATAATTAATTTATTGCTGAAAATCAGCTAAAAGAAATCCAATAAGGTTACGTTTTAATAATTTATTGCTCACCTAGGAAAGTACTCCATTTGCCTGCTCTCAGTAAAACTCACAATCATGTGAATTGCTCTCAAATATTCAACTTTTAAAATTAAAGTACTTAAGTACAAAAAACATACTGAAATGATTCAATACAATATCTAATGTCAGTACAAAAATCATTACAATTCAAGATACTAGGCTAACTTGTCAATATTGCATACAAAAATAGTGCTGTCCTTTGCTATCTTTTTGTGTAAGAAAAGGATAGATATCATTTTCAATCTTTTAGTTAGTCAATAAAAAGGATGGATAATTAAATGCAATTTGTCTCTTTCTCATTTTAGAAGGAAGAAATATTTAGGTAATGTATTTCAATGTATATTGATGTTTTATTATGTAAATATTTATGTAAGGAATAAATGACGGATTCTATTTGATTCTTGTGTTTTTAATACCAACGAATGATGCCAGAGAGCAAATAAACGCTTAGTTTAAAAATGAAATTATAGAACGCCACCTACGAGGGGACCTCGAACGGGGGCGGGGCAAGCGCAGTAAGGCACCGCAGATTCGGCCTAGAGCAGGAGATGGTACTGGAGGGTTTTAGTCTCTCTCGCCTCACAATGGGCAAGAAAAGTCATTTGATGATTACCCCGTGACAAAAACGGGGTGTTTACAAAATTCAGCTCGGCAGGGCCATTGAGGGCACTAAATAAAGGCAGCCTGGTTCGGATTATTCTGTATCTTAGCTTTTATTACTAACGATTACAAGTGTCCAGGTTTACAACTGCAAGAATGTTGTGTGGTTTTTAGTCAGTAAGAGTCTGACTCTCATTCTTGTCCTCCCAGGGCGGGAGAAGTGAAGATGTCAGCCCCCCCTCCCCCACACTCCCCACCCCTCAAAAAATAACATTTATAAGTTTACGGTACGCACACGAAATAAATGTTCGTAGTTAGTCCTAAAAATGAGCTGGAGTGGAGGCACATTTTATTAAATCATCACCATCATCAGTACCCACTGCTGAGCAAAGGTCTCTTCTCACACGGAGAAGATTTGTGCATTAATCACCACGCTTACTCAAGGCGGATTGGCGATTTCAAACTTATATCGGTACAGGTTTTCTTACGATGTGTTCCTTCACTAAAATATGTCAGTGGTGTCTAAATACTCATAAAAAGTGGGTACATATAAGTCTAAAACTTACGTTTGTAATTGCCAGGTTTCGAAACAGCGGCCTTATGCGGCGCCTTATTCTCTGGCCCACTATTAGCTACGAGGTTTTATTAAAAATAAGTGAAATCAAAAACATTAAAGTATTTTTTATTTTTATTACCTTATAATATATAACTATGTAACTACTTATATAACACTAGGGACTATGCTACATGTATAGGGCTCAGCCTTTCATCGCTATGCTTTCTTTTTCTTCAGATTCCACTGGCTTCGGTATCGGGGATTTCACAGTGTTCTGAAAAACAAAAAGTATTTTTCATTATGTGATGTAATCATCATCATCATCATCATCATATCAGCCACAGGACGTCCACTGCTTAACATAGGCCTCCCTCATTGACTTCCAGATAGGCCGGTTGGAAGCGACCTGCATCCAGCGGCTTCCTGCGACCTTAATCAGGTCGTCTGTCCACCTTGCGGGTGGACGTCCTACGCTGCGCTTGCCGGTACGTGGCCTCCACTCGAGAAGCTTTCTGCCCCAGCGGCCGTCTGTTCTACGCGCTATGTGCCCTGCCCATTGCCACTTCAACTTACTAATCCTCAAACCTTTGTTCGTTTGCGGACATCCTCGTTTTTTATACGGTCTCGCAAAGAAGCTCCGAGCATAGCCCTCTCCATAGCGCGCTGAGCGACCTTGAGCTTCTTTATAAGGCCCACAGTAAGAGACCACGTTTCAGTTCCATAGATCATCGCTGGTAACACACATTGATTATAGACTTTCGTCTTATGGCACTGAGGTAAGTTGGATTCGACGATGTGATGTAATAAATGCCAACTATTATACTGTACTTGAAAAAAGAATAATAACGCATTCCTTCTTATTATTTGCATAGAAATGCTACTAATATTATAAAGGCAAAAGTTATAATTATGGATGGATATTTGTAACTTGTTTATTAAAAAACTACTGAACGGCTTTTAATTAAATTTGGTACACAGATAGGTTATAGTTTGAAAATATTTACACTGGCACTGAGGACACAGCCTCTGATAAAGGTCAGTTTATTATAATTTAGAACTACAAAAAAATAAGTAGTTCTGAAGTTAATAGATAAGCTAGGCTTTTTCTTTACAAATTTTACTTCGAAATAGAAAGAGACAGAAATAAATAAATATTTCATCTTCGAAATAAATATAGCTTACCAATTTCTTAGCTCTTTGCGCGAGTATTGAGAAGGTGAAGTGGTTCATCATGACGCCAGCAGGTAGCGCCACCCCCTGGAACCTGTACAGCTGCTTCAAACCACCGCTTGCTGAACCTGAAACATAATATATAGCTTATTATCCTACTAATATTATAAACCTCAAGGTTTGTAAAATTGAATCATTTTGATCAGCCTGTTTCCGTCCACTACTGGACATATATCCATTGTAATAATGAATGGAAATGGAAAAGCATTCTATTACCCTTAAGTGTAGCGAGAGGGAGTACCGAACTCTTACTAACTAAACGCTACCCCGTTCTTTCTCCTGCGCAGGGCCTACACAGTGCATCATTACACTGGCGACCGTTACCCTGGCCATAATAAAGACTGTTTTTAAGACGAGAAAATCATCAATCAATTTCTCTCCTCCTGTCTGGCATGCGGCGTGGCAGTGTCTTTTCGATTCTTACTGAATTAAAACCTTGTAGTGTCTTTACGATTCTTACTGAATTAAAACCACCCTATTATTTGGCCTATTAGGTATTTGGGCGCTCGCAGAGACCTACGTGCCGAATGCTCGGGTTTGGTTCTAGTTGCGGCGAGCTACTCTTGCTCGCCATTCGCGTTTGTGTAAGATCGTCACTCCATCCCCTAGTCTCTCCTACTGCGACGGCTGGGGCGTGAGGAGAATAGTACCCTCACGCCCTCTACCTCTACCTTCTTCTTTGCCTGAATTAATAACTTACCATTTAACTTGTGAACAGATGCGATGGCGACGCGGCCAATTTGTCCAGTCGTGCTTATCATAGGACCCTTGGAGATATCTACGTGTTTACCCACTTTGTAGAGTGTCACTTTACCTGCAAACACAATTACAATTAACGTATCAAAAGTGTGGGAGAGGCATGCTTCGGCACGAATGGGCCGGCTCAACCGGAGTGATACCACGGCCTCACAGAAACCGTGAAACAACTTCAACTGGGCATTTCGCTATGTAAGTGAGGTTACCAAAGGCCCAATCATTCCCTCCCTAATCCCCGAAAGGCCGGTTGTCCATGTTGGATGCTCTTCCCTTCAATATCATGGCCGACCAACCTAATAAGTGCTTACTGATAAGCAAATGCTTTTGCTCACACGGAGAAAATATGTACATTTATCACCAGGCTTGTTCAAGGTCGATAAGCGTTTTGAAACTTATAATCAGAAATTATTAGTATAGGTAGGGCGATTAGAAACTTATTTAAGTATGGGAGAGCCAAGTTTCGGCAACAAAGGGCCGGCTCGACCAGGGTGATACCACGGCCTCACAGAAAACGGCCGTGCGGTGTGAGTGAGGTTACCGGAGGCTCAATCCGAAAATATGTAACAAACAAGCTCTTCAGCTATAATATTAGTATAGAAAACTATTAAATTAACTAATCCATCTAGCATTAATCAACAAAGAATAATCAATAAAAAATAACTCACCATTCTGCCTCGCAATGCTGGGGATCTGTTTGGTCTTATGTTCATTTTCGACGAACATCTCCAGAGCCAGTTCCTCGCCAACTTCGAGCCTCTCGAGCGGTTCGTTCAGCCTCGCCAGCTTGATGTATTCCGCAGCCAGGGTCACCAGCTCTTGGTGTGTCGGCTTCCAGTCGCTCAGGGTTGGCAGGTCCACGTCATATATGAAAGAGCCACTGCGAACTAGAATGGAATGGGTTGGTTTTTAGTTATGGCTGGCTATGGGTTGGAGGCCCATTTCTTCTCCCCGTTCTTATCAAATGGCTAACTCACGAAATCTCTGCTTAAAGAGTATGGTCGTTTGTCGTTTTATTATATAAAAAAAATTTCAAAAAATTTCAATTCAGACAGGCGATTTCTTTTTTTGAAGGGGGGCCATTTGCTACGGGATAAACCCGAGCAAAAAATAAAAATCTAAAACTAGAAATTAAACAACACACGTTTTAAACAATATCAATTTATGTTAAAAACTATACAACAAAAACAAGGCGTGGGTCCTACGCCTACTTGGGGCACTGTCACTGATGAGCGTTTACAATAATAAAAAAATGTGGGTATGTACGAGACGTGGTTGGCGGTGTTGGTGGTGGCCACTTAACTAAGGGCGAGGCATGAGGATGAGGCGCATGCCGGTGCCGCTATCCCAGTCCGGGTACGACATGGCGGCTATAGCGCATTGGCACGGGGCCAGGCCCTTGACGCTCGCCATCTCCAGGTTTCCACTACACACGGGGTTTCTCAACTCCGTACATGGCTCCCACGCTCAACGGGGCCTTTCAACTCCGTCCGTGGTTCTAATCCCGACGGGCCTTTCAACTCCGGCCGTGGTTCTAACCCCGACGGGCCTTTCAACTCCGGCCGTGGTTCTAATCCCGACGGGCCTTTCAACTCCGGCCGTGGTTCTAACCCCGACGGGCCTTTCAACTCCGGCCGTGGTTCTAATCCCGACGGGCCTTTCAACTCCGGCCGTGGTTCTAACCCCGACGGGCCTTTCAACTCCGGCCGTGGTTCTAACCCCGACGGGCCTTTCAACTCCGGCCGTGGTTCTAATCCCGACGGGCCTTTCAACTCCGTCCGTGGTTCTAACCCCGACGGGCCTTTCAACTCCGGCCGTGGTTCTAACCCCGACGGGCCTTTCAACTCCGGCCGTGGTTCTAACCCCGACGGGCCTTTCAACTCCGGCCGTGGTTCTAATCCCGACGGGCCTTTCAACTCCGTCCGTGGTTCTAATCCCGACGGGCCTTTCAACTCCGGCCGTGGTTCTAACCCCGACGGGCCTTTCAACTCCGGCCGTGGTTCTAATCCCGACGGGCCTTTCAACTCCGGCCGTGGTTCTAATCCCGACGGGCCTTTCAACTCCGGCCGTGGTTCTAACCCCGACGGGCCTTTCAACTCCGGCCGTGGTTCTAATCCCGACGGGCCTTTCAACTCCGGCCGTGGTTCTAATCCCGACGGGCCTTTCAACTCCGGCCGTGGTTCTAACCCCGACGGGCCTTTCAACTCCGGCCGTGGTTCTAACTCCGACGGGCCTTTCAACTCCGGCCGTGGTTCTAATCCCGACGGGCCTTTCAACTCCGGCCGTGGTTCTAATCCCGACGGGCCTTTCAACTCCGGCCGTGGTTCTAACCCCGACGGGCCTTTCAACTCCGGCCGTGGTTCTAATCCCGACGGGCCTTTCAACTCCGGCCGTGGTTCTAATCCCGACGGGCCTTTCAACTCCGTCCGTGGTTCTAATCCCGACGGGCCTTTCAACTCCGGCCGTGGTTCTAACCCCGACGGGCCTTTCAACTCCGGCCGTGGTTCTAACCCCGACGGGCCTTTCAACTCCGGCCGTGGTTCTAATCCCGACGGGCCTTTCAACTCCGGCCGTGGTTGATTAATTTGAAGTCTCTCGTCGTTTCACCTCTGAGTCGTCATAACTTTGTAATATCAATAGACAGATAATAAAAAAAATACATTCTTTAAGTGTGGGAAAGCCATGCTTCGGCACGAATGGGTCGGCTCGACCGGAGTGATACCACGGCCTCACAGAAGACCGGCGTGAAATAACCACTGCGTTGTGTTTCGCCGTGTGAGTGAGGTTACCGGAGGCCCAATCCTTCCTCTTCTCCAATCCCTCCTCAATCCCTAAATCTCCAAATCCCTAATTCCTAAAAGGTCGACAACGCACTCGTAACTCCTCCGTTGCGAGTGACCATGGGCGGCGCTGATTGCTTACCATCAGGTAATCCGTCTGCTCGTTTGCCGACCTATTACATTAATTTATTGAAAACTATCTTTTGTTCGGGACTTCGTTCACGTGGAATAGTCACTTCCTGCAGATTTTTTGATAAAAACTATCCGATGTCCTTTCTCGAGTTCCAAACTACATATGAAGTGAAACTATATTATGTCTGTACCTACCAAATTTCACACAAATAGGTTCAGTAGTTTAGGCGTGAAGACAAGACAGACAGACAGACAGAGTTACTTTCGCATTTATAATATTAGTTGGATAGTTTTGATAACGAATTACAACGCAATTACGGTTTTTTGTATTGCGGTTGCCAAGGGTTGGCTGCGCGACATCGCCGCTAGGAGCACGCTACTGATGAATAAGAGTCCCGTTATGACTTGAAACTAATAGGACTTTTATTATTAATTCACGTTTTTCTAACAAATCAAGTATCTAGTAATCAATCTAACGATGGTTACTATTAAAAAAATACATAATCTTACTGTCAGGTCCGGGAAAGCTGTGCAATTTGACGGGCACTGTGTCCTTGAAGGCGACAGTGGCGCACGCGCCGAGCATGAACGAGCAGGTCCGCCAGAACGCCTTGTTAACCTGCTGTGGCTCTGATACCGTAAAGTTTTGAAGCTGGAGGCAAAACAGAAATAATTCGTAAGTTTGGAATAATTTTATTTAAATTTTTTTGCTATTCTGATTGTTTTTTTATTGTACAATCTATACTAATATTATAAATCTGACAAGTTTTTTTGTTTGCTTGAATGCCCTAATCTCCGGAACTGCTGGATTAAATTAAACAATTCTTTTTGTGTTAGATAGTAGTTTTATCCAGGAAGGCTATAGACTATAAAACATCACGCTTAGACTGATAGGAGCCGACCAGCGGGTGGAACCGCATGTGAGCAGCTAGTTTAGTATACAATTCGTAAAAGTATAAAAATATTACAACATTTTAAAATTGGTTTTCATTTTCATTAGAATAAATAAATAGTTATAACAATTACATAGTTCTTTGCCACTGCATTTTTTTTATTAGCAATGGGCCGGTGTTTGACCACCATCTTGTCTTGTGGTAAAGGATGATGCATTCTTTTTTTTTTTTTTTTCACCCAGGATGAGGCGAGAGGAAGTTTCAGACTCTAACACCCGGTTTCCGAAAGGCCGATCAATGTTAAAATCAATTTAATCTCTTGTCAAGTCATCTGATTGGTTGACTGAATTATCAGTATAAAATAAGTAGATATAGTTTTACTAACCCATGTGTTGTCCTTTCAGCTACTGACAAGAAATTACCACAAAGTTAAAGTTCGATGGGCCCATAACCTGCCATCACTACTTGACACTGGCAGTATAGTCGACAACATTAAATTGGAGACTCGGTTGCCATTCAAAAAAGAAAAAAAAAACAAATCAGGTGACTTGACAAGAGATTTAACAGGAGATTAGTGGAAACCGGGTGTTACTGATTAAAAACCCCTGCTCCAGCTTGAGGTCAGGGCCTACAACTTTACTGTGCATATAACTGCTCATAATAAATCATTTGTACAAAACAATCAATATGAAATCAAGTAATTAAACACTATCATATTAAGAGCTGATTTTTCAATAGTCACATAAATGTTATATGAGGAATAAAATTGTTGCTGTCACTGTCTTATCCAAACATTCTGAGGCAACAGCATCATAATATATTCTCTAGACAACTTTTATCTAACCATTGAAAAATCAAACCTCAATAAACCAAAGCATAGTCCAGTTATGGGTTTATTAAAACAAATACAAAATAAACATTAAATGCTTACCTCTAAAGTGCAGTTTTCAGTGAGAGGTCTGTGCATATCCCAGTAGACTGAGCCATCAAGAAGTGCTAATGCACTAGACTCTACATGCCATTCACCTAAATCTGGAAAATAATTATACTATATTAGTCTAATGGTAATAGGAAATTTATAAAGAGGAAGGGGTTTTATTTTCAAATTTGGAAATACATTATGAAACAGTTTTAACAAGGTAAATGACATAAGATTGATTTCTAATTACATTAATTAGAAAGCAATCCATATATATATAAAAGAAAGTTGTGTTAGTTACACCACTTATAACTCAAGAACGGCTGAACCGATTTAGCTGAAAATTGGCAGGGAGGTAGTTTAGAGCCAGGAGAAGGACATAGGATAGGATAGAGTAGGTAGAGTAGATTAGGTAGAGTAGGGTAGGTAGAGTAGTGTAGGTAGAGGAGGGTATGTAGAGTAGGGTAGGTAGAGTAGGGTAGGTAGAGTAGGGTAGGTAGAGTAGGGTAGGTAGAGTAGGGTAGGTAGACCAGAGTAGGTAGAGTAGGGTAGGTAGAGTAGGGTAGGAAGAGTAGGGTAGGTAGAGCAGGGTAGGTAGAGCAGGGTAGGTAGAGCAGGGTAGGTAGAGTAGGCTAGGTAGAGTAGGGTAGGTATAGTAGGTTAGGTAAAGTAGGGGTGACAGGAGCGACGCCGCGGGTAAGAGCTAGTCTATATATATAAAAGAAAGTCATGTAAGTTACACTATTTTAACTCAAGAACGGCTGAACCGATTTGACTGAAAATTCGTAGGGAGGTAGCTTAGAACTGGGAGATGAACATTGGATAGGATAGAGTAGGTGGTGTAGGTTAGGTAGAATAGAGTAGGTAGAGTAGAGTAGGTAGTGTAGGATAGGTAATGTAGGCTACAAAGAGTAGGGTAAGTAGTCAAATGACGGGAGCGAAGCCGCGGGTAAGAGCTAGTATTTTATACATATCAGACTCCCCACCAAGTCATGGACGTCATAAATAGCCCCAAGAGGGATATTTGTATATCACCCACTTTAGGAGTGAATGCATAAGAGGATTCTCTATTATTAGGTGAAAATAATCTAAGATTTATTAATGAAAACTATGTTACTATAACTGAGTTAAAAATTACAACGTAAACAATACTTGTTACCAAAAACATATTCATCAAATATATATATAAGTTTTATGTTTATGTTTACTATTAAGAATAGAATTAGTAACGTTTGTAAGGAATGTAATAATAACTTACGTCTAGCACAATCGTAAGGTGTTGAGATTCCCTTATTCATTATTAAAGTGCAACTTTTTGGTACACCTTTGTATTGAACCTCAATTTTCTCAATTCGGCCTACATTTTCCAATTGTCGCTTCTTCTCTAACGTAAATAGGTGATAACGACGATCTATAGCTTCCTGACTACTTAGAAATCCTAAAAATACACAAAAGAAGTATGTTTATTCCATTTAAAAAACAAACGAATTATGAATTGTACTGTACCAATTGTTACTCACTTGTCAATGGTAGGGCTTTAGTGCAACTGTTTTGCGTTACTTTCGTTGATAAACATAAAATTTGACGCCTCATTTTGGAAGATAAATGCAATATTTTTAATAATAAATTCGAGAAGAACTTTTAGGTTATGTACAGGTGATCATGACATCAGTTTGACAGTTGCGTTCCAGACTTAGACATATTGACTTTCATATTTTGAGCGTTGACACTGCGCACAAAAATAAAATCTATTGTTATAAAAAATAATCCGTACTCACATTGTAAAAAGGTAAAATCTGTAATTTTATATGTATTAATGTAGGGAGTAACCTTTGGAACCATTGGTCGTATTTCTAAAATTATTTTACTGATAGATCGCTACAATGTTCCTGCATAAGCTATAAAACATCACCCTAAGAACAACAGGACTCGAGCAGCGGCTGAAATGGTGCAGCAGTAGCTAGTTATAGAAAAAAATGTAATCTGTCAAAACTTCTCTATGACTTTCCATCATCATCAGTCTATAACAAAGAGTATGTAACCACTACGTTTAGTCTATAAGTGCCCACTCCTGAGCAAAGGCCTGTTCTGTGAAGAGGCATGAGCATTAATCATATTGCTCAAGATTAGTTTGGAGATTGATAGCTATGTTACTTAAAATTGTAATTATAAGTCCAAATATCTTAGAAACCAGCACCACTTACTAATTATTTTTAAGAACAATCATCAGCTACATTCTTCAAAATTATTTGTTACTTAGATTAATACTATAATAAGTAATTTTTAATCCTTGATGCTCGTTCCTTTAACAACATAGGATATAAATAAAATAAAATCACTAAGACTGGGGAAAGTACTTACTATATTAAGATTTTATTATACAGAGTAGGTAGGATAGGAGGAAATTAAGTCAAATGAAAGGTAAATATTCAAAACAAAAGCTTCATACTTAAAACTATCCAACCATAGTCCTCTTTCTTCCCCTAGCTCTAACTTCTTCAAACTTGCTAATAGTTTCTTCAATTTTTTTCTTAGACTGCTTCTTGTAAGCTTCTAAAATAGCTTTAAATAAATCTGGGTAATCATTGTGAGTGCTTATTATTGCCCTTTCGAGGACATAAAGGTCTACTCCCTTATCCTCAGGACTAGCTCCAATGTAGGACAGGCCAAAGTCTATCATCACCAGGTCTAAATCTCCTTGTAGCCAGTCCTCCTCCTCATTCCCGGATTTAGGAATAAGCAACATGTTTGAAGTTGTCAAATCTCCATGTATGATATTATTTTCGTGTAATTTCCTCACATTTTGTCCAATCATTTCTGTCACTGTGTCTAATTTCGCTTTTGTATCATCTGTAACATGTTTTATGATAAAATCTTTTACTGTTATACTTTTTTCTAAATGTTCCATGTATATTCGTGATCTGTGGAAATCCACCAAATATAATGCTGGAGTTCGAACACCGAACGCTTTACAACGGACTATGGAACGCGCCTCGTTTTTAATACGATCTTTGGTTATGTGTTCGTCTAAATCTGGATGACGATACTTCTTTTTGAATCTCTCTTTGATTAACGTTGGTTTTCCAAGATAGTTACAAATGTACAACTTAGCTTCTGCTCCTTGTTTAAGTATTTTCAGATTTTTCAGACCTTCTTCCATATTGAATGAACTGGCAGCTTTGTCGTGGACGATAACTTACTTACTTAATATAGACAACTTAAAACACTAATAACGTATTCAAAATTTTACAATAAGAACGTTAATTATAACTAATAATTTACGCAATTTTTTTAATACATCGGCGTGCTTTGTTTTGAAATGTTTCATCTGTCAAATTTGACAGTTTCATAACATTACATTGACAGTGAGTAAGACAGATAATTTATAGCTGCGTTCCGTTTACTGAGAGTTTATTCAACAAAGCTGAAATGGTATAAATATGGGATGGACAAAGATAACTATGACATAATTAAATCATCAACTATTTCTTATGAGCATCCTATTAGACAACCAGAACCACTTATTAACCACTTATTTCAGATATTTTAAAAAGGGAGTACGGAACGTTAAAGAGGAGGAAAATAAAATCGTCGTACACGGGCCGTACCTAACATTTAACACGTAGGTAGGTATTGGATGTTTATCTACTTTCTATGTCTATGTATCTGTATGTATTCCACTGACCTCTATAATAACGCTGGACTGGCTATTGGTACCAACTTTTTGTGCCTATTTGAAAATCGCCATTTTGGCGCTGACGGCAGAAGTGAGGGGGAATGGAACTAATACTAGTGTTGACAAAAAATGGTTTGATATCGATAAAAACTTTACTGATATCGACAACAATTACAAAAATATTACTGACGATATTTTTAATATTAAATTGGTTTAGGTAAATTTTATTTAAACACCTAAATGTAATAATAAACAATACGTACAATCAGGGGTCAAAAATGCAATTACACTCTACCAATTTTAAAATGACAAATGTTTTGTAGTAAAAGTTCAATGGTTCACAGCTAGTTTATTTTATAGCATAGAATCGAAATTATTGAATAAACTGGCTGTACATAGGACATATAGGTACATAAGATATTTTTTTTAAATATGGTTTGTAACATAAAATACGTTCAGACTTAAATAACTATCACACAACACCATCTAGTCCCAAGTTAAGCAGAGCTTGTGTTATGTATCAGACAGCTGAGTGGGAATCGAACCCATGATCTGCGGCATAGCAGACAGAGCCACTTACTACGAGACAAACAAACTTATCTGTAATAGTAGTATCTACTAGTTTCTGGACTGTAATCAATAGGTATCACGTGTCCGGTTGACCCGTTCTTTCATTTCATTGTTCTTCTTGATTGGATAAAAGTTCACTATTGGATTAATAAATAATAAAATTACCCTTCATAGAATGTATTATACACTCTATGGTAAGGGATTAATTTGCTTGCGCATGGCGACGTGGGATATCTAACTAGTAAGATATCCCATGTCGCCATGCGGTACAAGACACAATAATTACTATTAGATCTGTAATTACGGTAATAAACTTCTAACAGCTTAACTACTGCAAGGGAAGGGACAGGGAAATTAAAAAAGCATATTTAAATCACATATTTTATTATTTAAAAAATATCGTCGAGCCCATTTTATCTGCTGGGTCAAAAAATGTCTTACTTTCTCTCCAGTTACTAATAAAAAGTATTTTTTTGTTTCTGCGTACAAATGGATGTCAATATATTTTATTATTATTTCTTTTAAAAGAACATGATTATGAAAATTGTCTGAGACATAACAGACCGTCTCTCAAGTGACCTTTTAGGAAACAGTTCATTGGTTTTCGTTAAAAGGTTGCTTATTGACTTTCATATCGATCGAATTATAAAGCCTCATTAATATTAGAATCAGGTATTGAAACTTTCGACTGAGAAACCTGGATTGGCCTCAATGGAACTATACCATGAGCGTATCACACGAGGATGAGGCAAAGCCAAATAAAACCTATTACGCACATATGCATATGCCTTTGGCGAATAAAAATGTAAAGAAATGGCAAATTATCTTAATTCTGGAGATTACTTTAAACATTTTACATTTTTGGTTATTCTTTTAAAAAGTTGTGGTTTGAAATCATCATACTGATTTAACATATAAACACAATCATCACATCCCAGTTTCTTTTGGTTTAAATCAGCAATTACAGATTTTAAAGTAGACACAGTAATTTTCATACGTTTAATATTTTGTGACAATACTTTAATTCGAGCTTGTGACATTTTCAAGGTTTTTAGACCCTTTCCAATTTATTTTTTGAAGATTTTGGGGTGTTCTCGTAGCTGTGATCTAATTTGACACTAGAAATGATTTCCGCTAAAGTTCTAGATTCTGTTGGTGTGCTACAGTAGCTTGTGTTGTAACTTGTGCTTGGAACTGTAACAAGAAATTATATTTCATTATTTATATTATTCAAAGAAAGATAATAATTAGATAGTAAAAATATGTTTCAAAATATTGGGAAAGGTATGTCATCATCATCATTTGAACGGAAAGATGTACACTGTTGGACATAGGCGTAAAAATCCCTAAGTGTACATAATTTTCACCTCTTAAAAATTGTTTAGTATTTACCCACTGTTAGTTGCAAACGTAGTGCTTCAGCAAGCCATGCTCAGTATTTATAAAATTTTCTAAAATAACTTACCTGCAAGGGCTTCACATGGCAACATTTACTTTTCATGGACTTCATCATTTAGTAACCCAACTTGTACAGGTACTGATGGTGAATTAAATTCATCCAAGCTCATTTCAATATCTTTCTCGCATTGGTATTCTGTTGGTTGATCAGCTTTTAGACATCTCAGTTTGTAATAAGGTTGAATTGGTTTCTGTAAAAATGTGTTATTTTATTACAAATATATATAAATTTAGGTTTGGTAGATCACTCAATAAAATTATTAATCATAAATGTTAAATTATTCGTTATTGACTCTGATAATTATAAACCTTGCAGTGTTTTGCTATTATTAGAGATCATTATATTGTGCATATTATTATTCTACAATGAAGGTAAATAATTTTATTCAATTAAATTCTTATTTAGGCCTTTGTGGAAAACACCACAATTTTGCCAATAATACTTATGAATTGTTAAAAAACCATCAAGAGCTGAGTCGTATTTGACGCAAATTAATATTAAAAATATAAAATATTTTAATTATGAATAAAATAAAACGCATTACTGGTTTTATTACTCCAGACAAAAGAAATAGCATTACTGGTTTTATTACTCCAGACGAAAGTATCGATATATGAACTTTAGACTTTACCATCCCTATCAAAAGTTATTGGTTATAAAAATGTTCGTAAAATCCCATAAACTCGAACTGTTTACATTTATTATTGAAAGAATACACTGCTTTAAGCGTTTCCTACTAAGTATTTATATTTTAGATTCACTTACTTGTGAAAAGTGACGCCACTGCTCTTTTCGTATCGTGTTTTACAATATACGCACGATTTCATGTTGGTCCAATAATAGAAGCTATGATACAATAACTGTCACTATTATAACACTTAATTTATGTCACAATCGCAGTAAATACTTTAAAAAACGTATTATTCCGCAAAGATACTTCGCATTTAAACAACAAACAACGGCCATTTGCAATTTAATTAGTTCTCAGTACTCTCACCGGGGCGCTTTGAATCGGCACAGAAAATAGCTGTCATTTTGTTAGGGATAGCCAGTCCAGCGTTTATTATAGAGGTCAGTGATGTATTCACTCACTGGAGAGCGAGGGAGGCTGTGGGCGTGATATTGGTTGCAGCACCCGGGCCGACCGCCGGCACCACGTTATAATTTTATTCGAACAATAATTCCCATCAAATACTTAATGGAAACAGTGATTTATCTCTGTAAGATTTAGTGCCGGTACGCAGTTCGAACGCTCCGCTGGCTTTACGTTAAAAAAATACAGCCTTAGTGTATTAAAACCGGTAAAAATACCAAAAATAATTTTAGTGTTCAATTGTGATTTAAATAAATTGTGAGAATGATGTCGGAAGGCTTAGAATATGAAACCATTGTGCAGAATGGACCAAGAAAAGTAAGTGCTTTTTATTTTAATTTTATTACATTGATGGTATGAACGAACAATGTTGTGCGCCCTTAGTCATGGCAAGCGTGCCTAAGTTATATATATCGCTAGGTTCGTATGGGGGGAGGCAGTGTTCTATACAAATGTCTGGGTGCATTTTCGTAGTTATAGGATGCAGTCGTCTCGAAATGCCGGCTGATGCGATTTCCTGCGTTCCCGTTTTAAGTAAAACGTTGGCGGGAAATTACGTAGGCTGGGACATTTCATAGGCGGATATAAATCGTTAAGGAACCGTATACAACAATAAAAAATTTTATTGCTTAATAAATATGATTTATTTCGGCTATAACTTGAACTATTTTAATGTGCCTAGTTTATATATAGGATCTTAAACTATGTTTTTATTACAAAACAGAAAAAAATATACATATGTATTACCAATTATAATATTAATTATTAAAATTCCTGTGACTGTGGCGTAGAAAAAGTATTGACCTAGCGTTTTAATTGAAGCAAAATTAATGGTTTCCTTAATTAAGCAACCCCTAACCGTAAGCTATTGTCTCTATCGTCTCTTTTTAACAAAGGAGGCAAAAAATCTCTCGTGAAGGTTTAATGCGTATTTTAATTTTGAATATTAACATAACAGACAAAAGATGAACGCAGTTTTTTGTTTTGAATTTAAAACTAAAAATATTCTATATTTAAATTTAAATAATATGGCTGATAACGTTTAATTTTTGCTTTTATGTTTGGCTTCAGTGATGAGCGTAGTATTTTCGGTTTTCCGCATCGCAATGTGACTTTATGTGACACGCCTTTGTCGTTTGACGAAGCCATGGAACGCTTTATAATATAAGTATTATAATGTCAGCAACAATTTATTAAGCTGAATAACTAAGGTATTTAAATCAATCAGATCTGTAACCTAGTCTTGTAGTTTCGTTAATCTACAATACCTACAAAAAACAAAAGAAAGAAGTGCGTTGGGAATATATTCAACAAAAAAACAAATCCAAATATTTTGTTGAAACATGTAGAAATGCAGAAGTAATTTCTTTAGAAAAATGATACGAAAATACTGGTAAATATTCCCAAATCCTGCGTTTTGTGCACACCTACGGTATAGGTACCTACTTATTTAAAAGGTCATGCATATGTACTTTTTCTCAGAAATAGGCACCGGTTTATAGTAACTAAATAAGCGTAGGTATATTTTCGGAG